TTATCTATTCGTCGAATAAGTGATGATCCGATGGTTTTTACTCAGGGAATCTTTGGGCTTATCTTAGTATTTTTTTATTGAATCATTGTGGTTCTAGTATGAATCTGGGGTTTTAATTGATTCATAGGGTCTTACCAAGAGAATTCCTATCAATAACAAAGAAAACAAATAATAAACATTATATACAAAAACAAATGAAAGAAACAGAAAGAAATAGGGAAGAGAGGATTCAAGAGGCCTCTAAGGATCAAGATAAAGACGAATGAGACAATTTGATTTTTTGGTATTATCGCCACAAAGAAGAACTTTCGGATTTTTTATTCGTATCTTTAGAGCAGATTGAATTGGAAAGTAAGAAGTTTAATACTTTGTTTTACATATCCGGTCCAACCAGTATTTTGGTGTTTTTGCTTGAGTTGTACGAGATTAAAGTCTCATATACGGTTCTCGGAGGGGGGGGGGATCACGCCTATCTCAATAAAGTCTATGATTGGTTTGAAGAGCGTCTCGAGATTAGAACTCCTATGGTTCCTCCCTTAACACTGAACAAGGACCTGTCAATGGTACTACCTATAGAGGAATAATCAGCTCCTTGCTGTATCTCACAACTAGTCGACCTAATATTATGTATTTTACCTATCTCTGTGCTCATATTAATCTGAACCCAAAAAAGCTCATATGATTATTGTAAAGCTAATATTCAAATATCTTAAGGGGGATCTCGGGTTCATCGGGTTGAGTTCAAATGACCCTAACCCAGTTCAAACTCAATAGATGTAGTTTGACCTAATTTTGTATTGACTATATGTCAAGTTTCTTCAAATTGAGTTTTTTTGGGTTGGTTAATCGGTATTTTAAGCACCCCTATTAATTGATTAAAGCCCACTAACACCAATTATGACTCATTATGTATTTGTAGGCAGGTAAGTACCTATATATATATGCATATATGTGAACTCCTACATATAAACATATACATACATGTATGTATATGTAGTATGTATGTGAAAGAATACATGTGAATCGCTATACATATATGAACATATACATATATGCATGTATATGAACCATTACATGTGAACCGAATGTATTTATGTAAGTATGTGAACCAATACATATGAAGTGCTACATATATGAGCAAGTACATATATGTATGTATTTGAAACGATATATGTGAACCGCTATATATATATATGAACATATACATATATGTATTTATGTGAACCAAATGTATATATGTAGTACGTATGTGAACTGCTACATGTGAACTACTACCTGTACATATATATATATATATACATATACATATATATATATGTAGTATGTATGTGAATAGATGTGAATTGCTACATATTAATAGATATGGATATGTATATACGTGAACTGATACATATATATATATATATATATGTAATATTTATGCGAACCACAACATACATGTACGTATTCTTGATTAATTTTTTTTTTTCAAAATAACAATTTAATTTAATTAATTATATTTAAATATAAATTTAATTATTTAGATCTAAATTAATTTAAAATAAAAAAAAGTTATTGCAAATTATCGAAGGAATTTATAAAATCCGTCAGTGAATTTAATATTTTTAAAATTTAATAAATTTATTGATGGATTATCAACGGAATTTAATTTAACTTTTGTTAAATTAATTTCATTGGTGAATTTTTTCATAGTTTTTATATATACTTTTTTAAATTAAATAAATTTATCGACGGATAAGTAAATATATGTATTTTAGTTGTGTTAGTATAATATTCAAGTCCGGTTGCTGTTGTCAAAAAGTCTAAGGGGTCGTTTACTAAACGCTTACTTTATAAGTGCTTATCGAATAAATTTTCTTATCGGATGAACATGACAAATGCCAATAATCTTATCGAGTAAGAGCGATAAGAAGGATGCAAAGTCTTACCCGGTAAGTGAAGATTACGACTCTTACCCTGGTAAGCGCTTACGCGGTAAATTGTTGCATGCCATAGGTTTTGATATTCTAAAATCTTACTCATCAAAATAAATTATAGTGTTAACTCCTATATGTAAGCACTTACCGGATATATAAGCATTTGGGTAAACAACCCCTAAGGGAATTTTTTATATCTTAAAAAGTGGTTAATGTTTCATTCGAACTTTCTTACATTTACAGTTATATTTTAAAACACATCAGTATCAGTGATGTCATATTTTAAATATATTATGTAATGTTAGAGGTAAATAATTTTTCCACATGTCATTTTAAGTAATAAATGTTATTAGCTTATAATTAGTCAAAAGAGGCGGTATACCAAAAATTAAGTGGATAAGCATTTGTCAGATAAGAGTCGTCATCCTCACTTGCCTTATCGTGTAAAATTCTTGGCCATAAAAATAACATAATAAGTAAAAGTCTCTTATTCGGTAAGCTTAATGGGATAAAAGTCACCACTCTCATTTATCAGATAAGATTCTCGATCTTTACCATACGTCTTATCCGATAAGGTAAGTGACCCAACAAGTGTTTAACCCGTTAGTATATAGTAAACGATCTTCATATCAACAACTAATATTTCAACTAACGGCTACTTTAGATGTAATTGCAGTTAAATGAATTTCACCAAAGAAAATAAATAAATTAAAAAAAAGGTCAGCTTGTTGGTTGTTCAGCAACAAGGTATAATACATGATTACGTGCATGATAATGGAAAATACGATAATTTAGCAAACATAAAATTATTATGTTTTATATAATCTGGAATGTGCTTCCGATCTTTTTTAAGTACCACGTCAATAATTTTTGGTGTTTCAATAAATCTATATTATATTATAAATCATTTGACAAAAATTCTTAAAATCATTTTTATACATGAAGTATTGTTTATTGATGCATATTACTTAAAATTCAAGATTACAAGTGAATTGTGCGTAAGTTATCTTATTAAAGCTTCATGTTTGAATTCGTGTAACTAACTTCAGATAAACATAATCAAATAGAGGATAAACATCTCATTTTAAATATAAAAAAACTAAAATATAATTAAGATAATCATTGAATTCTAACAAAATACTTAATTATTATATTTATAAAAAATTATATTATTAAAACAAAAATAAAAAAAATGAATTAAAGAAATACACAAAAAAACGAGAATTTTTAAATAGTTTGTCCGGTACTAATATCAATATTTTAAAAAAAAAAATTTTATGATATTTTCATATTTATATTTTATTCAAAAATAAAAACATTATTGTTTTCTCAAAAACACATAAAACCGTATTATAACATAGATTAAGACAAAAAAAAAAACACCAAAATCGAGATGTATCTCGTTGCATTGTACGAGGATCCTTCTAGTCGTTTTATAATACATAAGTTTATAGGATGAAATAATAAAATGTCGTATTTAAATGTGTTGTAATTAATAAGTTTATAAAACGTTTTTGAGTGTGTTTAACAAATTTTGTAAGATAGTGAATTATTTTATATTGAGAAGTGTCATATGAACACATCTTTTTATAAGACACTTTTCCGGATAGTGTTTTATAAAAGCCTAATATGGCGTTTTTTTTCCTTTCTAAATTGTCCTAAAAATCTTGTTATGATGTCTAAAAATGTTTTATAAATTTATTACAGTACCTTTAGATACGACAGTTGATTGTTTTGTCCGATAGTTTAAACATTTTTGACGTCATATAAACTCAATTTTGTTGTAGTATGGTCCTTTTTGGTTCTCTTTAACAAGGGCAAATATAATATTCTCAACTAAATAACAAAATAAGAAGTCAGTTTTAGTGATCCTGTTACTGTGAAAAAATATTCTCCGTAATCATTTCTAATATTATATATACAGGGAAGTTCAGGAAAACCCTCAACAAAATGAAAAACTGAGTAACACTCTGATAATCGTTTATTTGGATGACATCTACATATGCATATAAGTAATTGAAATTGTTTCTTGGCATGCACATATGCATACTAGATAAGTTGCTTAAAAATGATTTGTATGTACATGTGTATACCATTCAGATGAACAGTTACCAGAGTATTCCTCAACTTTTATTTTTTTACGGTTATTCGAAACTTGACCTTTTGTATATCTCAAATTACAAGTGATTTTGTAAAAAAAAAATTGAAGCATTAGAGTTGTTGTGATATAATATCTATACTATATTATAAAGCATTTGACAAAAATTCTTAAAAACAATTTTTTATGCATAAAATACTGTTTATTAATGCATGTTACTTAAAACTCAAGATTACTAGTAGATTGTGCGTAAGTACAACCTATTAAAGCTTCATATATGAATTCGTGTAACTAAATGTTATTAAACATAATAAAAAATAGGATAAACATCTCATTTTAAATATAAAAAATCTAAAATATAATTAGAATAATCATTGAGTTCTACCATAATACTTAATTATTATCTTTATAAAATGCTATATTATTAAACTTAATTTAATTATAATAAAAAATAAATTAAAGAAATTACATAAAAAATGAGAACTTTTAAGTAATGGATTTGATATTAATATTGATATTTTTTTTTTCAAAATTTTATGATATTTTCAAATTTATATTTTATTCCAAAATAAAATCATTAATTATTGTTTTATTAAAAACACATAAAATCGTATTATAACATCAACAAAGACAAAAAATAAAATAGAACATTAAAATTCAGATGTATCTCGTTGCATTGCGCGAATACCATTCAAGTATAATATAAACTAAAACGAAATGCAAGATTAGAGCTTTGAAATTTCATTTTGACAAATAGACAAGATCACCAAAATGGATCCCCACTTCTGATTCTGTGTTATAAAATTAAGAGAGGAATTAATTTGCATATCATTGAGGTTAAGTTGACTTGTTGATTTCTCAAATTCTATTACACAGTTCATGGAATTAAAACCGATCATAGACGACTTTTTTCACTTCTCAAGCTGTATTTAAAGCCACCACCACCACCACCAAAACACACACTAAACCCTAATAAACACACACTCATGGCCAATTCTGCTTCCCTCATTTACCATCACCTCCTCTTCTCCTTTCTTCTCATCCTCCTTCAAGCCGCACCATGTCCCGCTGCTGGTGGATCGTGGTCCGTCCTCCTCCCAAGCATTGGCATCTCGGCCATGCACATGCAGCTCCTTCCCAACGACCGAGTTGTCATGTATGACCGCACTGATTTTGGAATCTCCAATATCTCTCTTCCAGATGGCAAATGTCGTCCCAACTCAACCGACTGCTCTGCTCACTCCGTCGAGTATGATATTGCATCGAATTCCATACGTCCACTTATGGTACTCACTAATGTTTGGTGTTCCTCGGGAACTTTGATGCCCGATGGAAGATTAATCCAAACTGGTGGCTGGGATGATGGTTATCGTGTTGTCCGAATTTATAAATCATGTGATTCTTGTGATTGGCAAGAAATACCAAATGGTTTGAATCAACAGAGATGGTATGCCACCAATCATATCTTGCCTGATGGCAAACAAATTATCATCGGTGGCCGTCAAGCATTTAACTATGAGTTCTACCCCAAGATGTCGACCACTGAGAACTCACCTAGTTTGCCGTTTCTGGTTCAAACGAATGACCCAAACGTTGAGAATAATTTATACCCATTTGTATTTCTCAATCCTGATGGAAATCTGTTCGTGTTTGCTAACAATCGTGCAATTTTATTTGATTACTCCAAGAACCAAGTTCTCAAGACTTACCCAACAATACCCGGTGGTCAACCAAGGAATTACCCAAGTACTGGCTCGGCAGTTCTACTTCCTTTGATGATAAAAAACGGGACGGTAAATACAGTTGAAGTATTGGTTTGTGGGGGTGCACCAAAAGGAGCATTTGTAAACGCAAATAATGGGAAATTTGATGGAGCCTTGGATACTTGCGGGCGTATCAAAATATCGGACCCTAACCCCCAATGGGTCATGGAGACCATGCCTATGGCTCGAGTCATGGGTGACATGTTGTTACTCCCCAACGGCCATGTTTTAATCATCAATGGCGTATCCGCTGGGGTAGCAGGGTGGGAACTTGGAAGGAACCCTGTTCTCAGCCCCGTAGTTTACCAACCAGATAACCAAGTAGGGTCTCGGTTCGAGGTCCAGAATCCAAGCACAAAACCCAGAGTTTACCATTCCACAGCAGTTTTGCTACGAGATGGACGTGTTCTTATTGGTGGAAGTAACCCGCACGATAAATATGAATTCACAAACGTCCTTTACCCTACTGAACTGAGTTTGGAGGCGTTCTCTCCATCTTATTTGGATTCAAGCTCGTCTGGGTTACGCCCGCGAATTATCTTTCCTAGAAAAACCACTAGAATTCGATACGGGAAACGAGTTGTAATTGTATTTACTATCTCAGGCATTGTGGATCCAAGCTCAGTCTCAGTGACAATGGTGGCACCATCCTTTAATACACACTCGTTTTCCATGAATCAACGATTATTGGTGCTCGATGGTGGGGTCGCTACCAAGATTAGGGGGAAGTCGAGATACCAAGTTGTTGTCACGGCACCGTCCTCCGGTAACCTTGCTCCGGCGGGGAATTATCTTCTATTTGTAGTTCACAAAGAGATCCCAAGTGCAGGTATTTGGGTTCGAATGCAGTGACAAAATTTCACAGCGTTATCATTCTTTTGGTTTGTTGTGGTTGTCTTAATCGTACAATCCATTGTTAATCGGTTTGAAATCTGAATCAATAAAATTGTTTGTTTTTGTAAACTGATAAATGTCTGAATTTGTTTAAATTGACGATTTTATCCGTTAAAATTTATGGTGTTGAATTTATAGATAAATTTATACAATTTCACGTATTTATTCATTATCATCATTACGAAATTTACATCTAATTTATAAAATTAACATTTATTTAAAGGAAAATATGTCATTAACGGTATTTAACACATTTAAATCATATTACAATACATAAATTGAGAGAGGTGAAGATAGATTTGATAAGGATCAATTGAGAGAAATTATCGATTAAGGTTAATCGATTGAGAAACGTCGTTATTGAGGGTTTGAAGAACAACAATAGACAAATAAGATGTTGATTTATCTCTTACTAGATAAAATAAGAGAACAATAAGCCATAAGTGCCTTTGAAAAATTGGAACAAACAAACGAATAACCATACCTCTTAAAGAATCAGACATAAGAGACTGATAAAAGTTTTTTTTTAAACAAAGACCTGAATCTTAAATAGATAGATTAATGTCGAAAGAGTGAAAAAGATGAATGTGTCTAGGGCTTTTGATAGAGAGTAAATCCGTTACCTCTACGTTTCAACATATAGGATCACAAGGGTAAAGAAATAAACCAATTAGGTTTTTATATATGCACAAATTTGCTATGGTTCTTTGAACTAAGGGTATGTTTGTCAGACTGGTTGGTAAGCTAGTGGTAAGTTAGCTGATGAACAAATCATGTTTGACAAAAATTAACTTATAAACATGTAAAATGACAAAAAAAAAGCATCTTGGAAAAGTAATCAAAATCACAATATATTACAATATAATTAGAACAAATCTCTAGAAGTATAATATGTTAACTAATACCAAAAAAATGATAAGAAATAAATAACACAATATATTGACTAAAAAAATTTCAAATTGAATATTATAAATTTTGGATTTATTAAACAAAATTTAAAAAAAAAAATTCAAATTGAATATTATAAATTTTGGATTTATTAAACAAATTAAAAAAAAAATATCTATGAATTTATGATTTTAAATAACCATTAGATGTACTATGAATATAACATAAAAGTGTCAACCTTACATATTCTAACTAATTTATAATTTTTCAAAATATATAATCAACAATTAAATTAAATATTTTATTAGAATCATTTAACACATTTTTTTATCTATAAAATAAAATAAGTGATTTTATGTAACATTGTTAAATTTTTTATATTTACTTTTTGATTACTAAATATATTGAATAATGATCATAAAAATAATTGATGTAATTAATATTATTGTAATTTTTTTTATTAACCTGGATATCCAATCCGCTATACGAGCCGACTAATCCCAGAGCGACCACCTGCTTTGCAGGTAGCCCGGAGTTACAACATTTGAACCTCTGTGGTCACAAAGAGGATTTTTGTTTTTTCTTGTATTTGACCTGTGACCTACATGCACTTTTGACCTTTGGAGTCAAGCTCAAACCAATCAGACACCATCCTTGTGGTTAATAATTGATATAATATTCATAGTAAATAATTAATGTTAATGTATATTGTAAAATTCAAATTAATTAATAATTAATAATTATTCATAGTTAATATTTATTAATATAGTAATAATTTATTTTATTTAACTTTTATTAATATAGTAATAATTATATTAATTAACAATTAATATTTACTTACTATTAAGAGTAAAAATAATATTAATGAGGGTTATAATTAAAAAAAGTCACAATAAGCTCCAAAACTCTATTTGGTCTCAAAATGTTAATCCAAGTAGTGTCTCAATAAGCTAGTTTATGGTTATTCAAACGTATACCTAAAAAAATAAGCTAGCTTGTTTTTACCAAACAATGTCTAAGATGAATAAAAAAGATAAACAAAAGTAGAAGATGTCACACATATATATAAAGACTTGTATGCAATAGAGTTTTGTGTAAGACAATTGCATGCTATAGGGTCATGCTAATTTATAAATTTTGATTAATACATGTCAAAGCGTAGACGGACCCTCTATTGTGCATACTGCGATACTCGTCACCGCTTCATATTTTCGTCACAGTATATGAACTTTTAGGGTCGTGAAAGGTGACATCTTATTATTTTGTTGGATACAACAATATATGTATTGAAACTACAATAATAACACAACTTTCTGACGGGTCGGAGTTGGTTGCAAGGTCTTCTAGCTCCCCCCGTGCAGGCAGAGTTTAATCGAATCCCATATGTATCATTTTCTTAATTTTTATCGTCTAATTTCAGGTTTTTTTTTATCTTTCTGAAAAAGAAAATATGTGATAAAAGCCTCGAATACAAGACTTCACGTACAAAAAGTAAAAAAAAAATAACCAACAAACGAATGATGATTTTATAAAAGATAATTAAATACATAAACATAATCCTTGACATTATTAATTAGTTCTCTGAACAAAGACATACATGAAAAAAAGAAAATTAATAAAAAAATAAGCGATGAAAATGATTGATGGAATGTCAAACATCATCATATCCTTCGATTGATAGCATTTGCACGTCTTTTTTTCTTCTTCTACCAATGAATTTGAAAAGAGTGTATCATTCATTTATTCATACAAATATTCCTTCATTATTATAAAAAAATGAATGTGAAACAAAATACGTACCAGTCTGTCTACTAGCTATGGGAATTGCTAATGGTACTGTAGGGATTGATGGTGGGGCAAACATCATCGAGCATGACGAGTCCCTGAAGAGGTTGGGGGCTATTGTTTGTAGCATCTCATGCAAAAATTTCGTATTCCGATTACAAGAAGGTGATGGGAGGACCTAACGAGCATATATATGTGAATATCCCAAAAAAATATGTTAATAATTTGTTGTCTTGTTAATGAAAAGTTTCGTTCCATGCTCAAGGGTTGACCAATTTACATACGTAATCATGTATGCCATATATATCGGTTTTTAACTTATGAATGATGTGCTGTGCAATATATAATAATTAACGGCTGACACGAAAAAAATAAGAAATAGAGATCGACTTCATTCATGGCGGATATCCTTTAATTTATCAACCGATATTAATAATCATCATAGAGTTGAATTATGAGATACAAATCCCATGCATTCGGCCTAAAATCTAGAGTGCAGAATAGATGGAGGTTATAGAAGATTTGGAACTTGGAAAGTGAACTTATATGTTCTTTCTTTATTATAGAAATGATGAATATGATCACCAAAGACCTTATATCATATATACTCGGTCCCATTGTGCAAATGCTTAAACCTTTACAACATATATATAATTGTGCAAATGCTTAACCTTGTGATTATATCAAAATATATACATATGTATATGTATATGTATATGTATATATACTAATTGTTACTTGCTAGTACGTACAGTGGAGTGGAAACCAATAATCTATACTATATTATAAAGCATTTGACAAAAACTTTTAAAAACCATTTTTGATGCGTAAAGTACTGTTTATTAATGCATATTACTTAAAACTCAAGATTATAAGTAGATTGTACGTAAGTACAAGTTATTAAAGTTCTATGTTTCAATTTGTGTAACTAACTGCAGATAACATAATCAATTATTGGATAAACATCTTATTTTAAATATAAAAAATCTAAAATATAATTAGGATAATCATTGAGTTCTAATAGAATACTTAATTATTATCTTTATAAAATGTTATATTATTAAACCAAAAATAAACTTAAATTAAATTATAATAAAATAAATAAATTTAAAAAAGTACACAAACAATGAGAACTTTTAAATAGTTGATATTTTTTTTCAAATTTTTATTTTATTCAAAAATAAAATCATTAATGCTTTCTTAAACACACATAAAATCGTATTATAACATCGACATGGACAAATAATAAAATAGAACATTAAAATCGAGATGTGTCTCGCTGCATTGCGCGAGTACTTTTCTAGTCTATTATAAAACATTTGATAAAACTCTTAACAACCATTTTTTTATGCATAAAATACTGTTTGTTGATACACATTATTTAAAATTCAAGATTACAAGTAGATTGTGCATAAAAGAAGCTTATTAAAGTTACATGTTTGAATTCGTGTAATTAACAGTAGATAAATATAATCAAATACAAGAAAAAATCTCATTTTAAATATAAAAAAATTAAAATATAATTAGGATAATCATTGACTTCTAACAAAATACTTAATTATTATCTTTTAAAATATTATATTATTAAACAAAAAATAAATATTTCATTATTAAACCTAAGTTAAGTTAAAGAAATTACGCAAAAAATCGAGAACTTTTAAATATTTAATTTGATACTAATTAATATTGATATAATTTTTTAAAATTTTTATGATATCTTCAAATTTATATTTTATTCAAAAATAAAAACATTATTGCTTTCTCAAAAACACATAAAACCGTATTATATCGATATAGACAAAGAATAAAACGAAACATTAAAATCGAAATGTATCTCATTGCATTGTGTGAATACTTTTTTATAGTAAATGCTACGATTTTCATTCCCTGCACAACAGCAATATTGCAAAGGAAAATGAATAAATTCCATAAAGTAAAGAAAGGAAACATTAACCAGAATGGATAGAAAGTCTTAACCACAAGAAACAAGACCAATTGACAGCAAATCCCATTCGCACAAAAAACTAATCATGAAACTTCATTCCCCTTTTAACATTTAAGAGTGGCTCTTAGAATCCATGGTAGAAAAATTTAACTAACGAGCCGTTTACCTAAATGCTTATCCGGTAAGCAATTACCGTTAAGAGTCAACATTATAATTTATTTTATCGGGTAAGATTGTAGTACATCAAAACGTATCTTATGCAACAATTTACCTGGTAAGCGCTTACCTAGGCAAGAATCGTCACCCTCAGTTACCGGGTAAGACTCTCCATTCTTATCATCGTTCTTAATTGAAAATGAAGCTTGTCACGGATGTCAACTGGTGCTGTATGAAAACTAAGCCCAGCCACCATCAAGCTGCTCCTCTCCTTTGTA